TGCGTGGGCCTCCCTGCGCGCCCAGTGCCCCGAAGCCCCTCCCCAGGCCCGTCCAGAGGGAAAAGCCAAGCAGCCAAATGAGAGAGAAGCGTGGAATGCGGGCAGCGGAGGCGCGTTTCCGATGTCGTTCCTGTGGCCGCAGCAGGGCGTTCAGCCTCAGTTATTGATTTAGTGAATGTGGGAGCCGAAGGGAAGAGAAAGTTCAAAGCAAACTATGACTTACAATCCCACAACCAAAGGTACATCCTACAAACAGATGAGAGGGAAATGGAGATGGAGAGAGATACAGAGACAGAGATAGAAGACAGAGATAGAGAGAGAGACATAGAGATAGATACAGAGATAGAGATAAAGAGATAGAGACAGAGAGAGAGAGAGATAGAGACAGAGAGACAGAGAACTAGAGACAGAGACAGAGAGAGACAGAGAGATGGAGAGAGAGAGACAGAGAGATAGAGAGAGAGACATAGAGATGGAAGATAGAGACAGAGATAGAGACAGAGAGAGAGACAGAGAGATAGAGATCGAGATGTACAGGGTGTCCCCCTCGCCTAATGTTTATTTTTCTTTCTTTAGTACAAGTGTTACATTTTCTCCTGATTTTAAAAATAATCTATGCTCCTTATAGAACTTGAGAAACGTAAAAATATCAAGAATGTAAATATCCCCGAACTCCTGTTCCCAGGGTGGCAGCTGCTACACCGTATGTCCTGCTGTTTAATTCACGTGGGGCCGCCCACTGTCCTGGTTACACACGTGACATGTGCTCATGGCAGCACATCAGACAGGAAGTAGGGAGACTAGGCACACTCGGGGATTCTGCCCGGCTCCTCTGGGTTTGCGGGGCTCCTCTGGGTTTGCGGGGCTCGGCTGGGTTTGAGGGGCTCGGCTGGGTTTGAGGGGCTCCTCTGGGTTTGTGGGGCTCCTCTGGGTTTGCGGGGCTCGGCTGGGTGCTCTGTGTAGAATGTGTCCTTCAAAATGTGGTGCCAAGGGTGGCGGGTGATGACGACAAAGTCTGGGCATTGCAGACAGGAAACTGAGGCCAGAGCAGGTGCAGAGCTGCAGGTGGAGGGCCGGCTGCCCCCCCACCCCGCCCCCGCCTCACTCAGGGGCTCCTGTCAGCCCCTCGATAGCTGGGAACCGAGGTTCGGACAAGAGCAGGTGCCCCCAGGGCCACACATGGCAAACGGCAGCGACAGCACTGGGTCCCGGGCCTGGGGGCTCCGGGCAGAGGGCACCGGGGCCAAGGCCGCCAGACCGGGCGGTCTTGGTCCTGGCCCTGAGCCTCCTGCCCCGAGCCTGGGA